TCCAACTTAGAACAGAACCCAAACTTCTCCCCACAGCCTAGGAGTCTCCACCAGACCTGGTTTCAGGTACCTTTCTAGTCACATTTCAAAATCCTCCTTCTAGGGCAGGGGAGGGTAGGGGGTCAGAAGGGGGAGGGGGGTAAGAGATCAACTGAAGAACTTATATGCATGCTTATAAGCATAACCAATGGACATAAGACACTGGGAGTTAGGGGAGGCCAGGGGATTGTCACGGGTGGGGGAAAAAAGGAGACATATGTAATACCCTTTGTAATACTTTAAACAATTTTTAAAAAAAGGAAAAAAAATCCTCCTTCTTATGCCTCTTTACCTACCCCGAGGCTCACTCGGTGTTCCCTCTGCCTGGAATTCTTTTCCACAGATATTTCCAAAACCCCTTCCCAAACTTCATTCGCACTTCTGCTGAAATACTGACTCCTCGGAAAAACCTTTTCTAACTGACTTTTCTATAATGGCATCTTCCTATGCCTTTGCTATTTCATTTTTCTTCATGACACTCACGACTAACTGACATCACACAACGTCTCTGGTTTATGGTAACTTTCCATTCCCCCACCGGAACACAGATCCACGAGGACAGGGAACCTCTCGGGACTCTTCATGGATACACCCCCTGCTCCCAGGACACGGCCTTTCACAGGGTAAGGACTCCCATACATACCTGTTAAATGGATTTATGAGTAAACCCCAGGGATGAGCAGTCAGTGATGACATTCCCAAGGCTCTGAGCTTAGAGCCATACTTTGATCACCTGCCCACTTGGTCCCTGAGTAGAGCGGCCCCAGGCCAGAATATTCAATTTGCTATTGGTGCTTTGAAAATGGATTCAGTTCCACATCTTCCTCCTAAGTGCTGCTTTTTCCGGTGCTGGGACAGGTACCTGGCAGGAGGATGAGCTGGGAAGGGGGCAGGGTTGCAAGCAAATGCATTTTTAGGGTAACCCTCACAGGAGGGTTACTGAGGGTGAGCGGGACGCTATGGAGAAGTGCCCCTAACCTGGGAAAGGAAGTTTGAGGTGAGACAAAAGACAGGAAAAAAATAAATAAATGGGGGGAGGGGACCTACCTCTACGTCTCTGCAACACTTTCCCAAGGTGAGCAAACACACTAGCATGTACAGAACACCTGCTCTAAATGTTCCAGACACTCTCCAACGGTCCTCATGTAAGCCTCCACCCACCCTTCAAGGGAGGTTCTACTGATCCCATTTTCATAAATGAAAAAGCCAGGCACAGAGAGGTGACGTAGCATGCCCAGGGTCACACAACAAGGAGCGTCTGGTCTTTTAAACTCGGGTGTGTGTAGCTTCCAACCCCATTCCTTCTCCACTTCAGATTTTAGCAGCAATATTCAGGGGCATGAGGGTCCAGAGGGACCAACCTCAAAGAGGAAATGCCAACCTGGACACGGGGACCGGCTCGTCTCTAACTTTTCAAAGACCAGCATAGACACGTCGGCTACAGCAGGATGCTGACCACCTTCCAGCAAGCACGTCCTGAGGATCCACTCTGCAATAGTTCCCAAGCTCATGGCTCCCACATAACTCTGCCCTTTCATTCTCATCACCGTTAAAAACCCTGTGAACACGGATGAAGGCACCCAAGCAGAATGGTCTAAACCAGAGGTGGGCAAACTTTTTGACTCGAGGGCCACAATGGGTTCTTAAACTGGACCGGAGGGCCGGAACAAAAGCATGGATGGAGTGCTTGTGTGAACTAATATAAATTCAAAGTAAACATCATTACATAAAAGGGTACGGTCTTTTTTTTTTTTTTTTTTTTTTTTTTTTAGTTTTATTCATTTTAAACGGGCCAGATCTGGCCCTCGGGCCGTAGTTTGCCCACGGCTGGCCTAAACCCTGCACGCAAGCGAGGAACCTGAGAATCCCCCACCCCCCACTCCATGCCAGTTAGAAATTCGACAGCTGCCTTAAAGACACAACAGCATGAAGACCCAGACAACTGCAGAAAGACTCTTTTGCTCT